TCTCGGTAAGGCACATCACAGCCTTCTTGCACTTAGAGACACTAGACAGCACTTTGCTCAGATCTGTCTGTCTAATCTACCTAATCTATCTGTCTATCATTTGACGGAGTCGCGTTCTACCACTCAGGCTGAAGGGCAGTGGCGCGATTTCGGCTCACTACAATCTCTGCCTCCCAGGTTCAAGCGATTCTTGTGCCTCAGCTTCCCGAGTATCTGGGATTACAGGTGTGCACCACCACACTCAGCCAATTTTTTGTATTCTTAGTAGAGATGAGGTTTCACCATGTTGGCCAGGCTGGTCTCAAACTCCTGGCCTCAGGTAATCCACCCACCTTGGCCTCCCAAATTGCTGTGATTACAGGTGTGAGCCACAGCACCTGGCCCAGTCTGCTCATTTTTTTTTTTTTTTTTTTTTTTTTTCTGAGATAGAGTCTGGCTCTGTCACTCAGGCTGGAGTGCAGCAGCACGATCTCGGCTCACTGCAACCTCCACCTCCCAGGTTCAAGAAACTGACTGCCTCAGTCTCCCATGTAGCTGGGATTACAGGTGCCTGCCACCACACCTGGCTAATTTCTATATTTTTAGTAGAGACGGGGTTTCATCATCTTGGCCAGGCTAAGTCTTGAACTCCTGACCCATGATCCTACCTGCTTCGGCCTCCCAAAGTGCTGGGATTACAGGCATGAGCCACTGCGCCTGGCCCAGTCTGGTCATTTTTAAACAGCAAAATCACCAACAAAAAGCACAGAAAGGCATGAAATCTGACACTAAATACACCATGAAAAGGACACTTGTTTACGGTTTGAGAACTGAACATACCAGAACATCACTGTGTTCAACCTCAGCTGGAAGTGTGTGAATCGGGCAACTCAGATTTATTCCCCCTGTTGTACACATCTCTGCAAATGCCCATGAAAGCACATCAAGTGCTGATTTTGAGGTTATAAACAGGTTTTAGAGAGCAGGCAAATTAACAAATACAGAATCCGTGAATAATACTGAATTGAGTATATATTAAGAAATTGATAGTTGTAGAAGTTTCCAAGGAAGAGAATGATGTGGCTAGGAGACAGCAGGGAAAGAAATTTCTGTTTTACCACATGACCTTCTAACCTTTTGCATGTTATACTGTGTGTGTGCATGTGTGTGCATGTGTGTTTGAATATTATGACCACTGCTCAAAGAAAACAGCATTAAAAATCTAAAAACAGTAAAATTATCCTTTGGGTTCAAACAGTAAAAAGGAAGCAAACTAAAATTTAAAATGAGGAAATATGAAAATAAAAGAATATTCAAAAATGGAAAAATCATAGATATTTACAGTCTCTCCACATTGAGGAAACTCAGAGCAGACTCCCATAGTGGAGAAATGACACAGAGAATTATTTAAAAGCAAAGAATCCCATGACTATAAGCTCTCAAGTAATACAAAGGAGGTGGGGGGGTGGCCACAAGAAATATTATACAAAATGAAAATACTTTAAAAATAATTACATAGTAAGGACTACGTTTTACATACAAGTTATTTTTCCCAGGAAATTTCATCTTATTATTTAAAATAACATTTCAAATAATTTTATATACAATAGTAGTTCTCAAAGTACAATCCCAAGAGCAGTGACATCAGTATCACCAGAGAAGATGTTAGATTCTCATGCCCTACCCTAGACCCAAAAAATAGGAACTCTGGGGCAGGGCCCATCAGTCTGTACACTAACAACTCTTCAGGGTGATTCTCATGCCAGCTACGGTTTGGGAACCACTAGCACAGAAATCCACTGAAATGTTACTGTACTATTAAACAGAGGATATAAACATATGTTAAGCTTTTTTCAATGACCACTGGCAATTCTCTAGAAAAATCTGCTGTATTCTGTGCAATCATTGTTGTTTCATGTTTTTCATTTTCGCCCCTTTGTTTTTGGTTGATCAGAAGATCCTCTACTGATATTATTATAATAGTACTCACAGCTCCTCCATCCTCTCTGAGTCTAGACTTTCATGCTGGTGTAAACTATCTGGGAAGCAAAATAATTAAGCTCATGAGAACTGAATATTATGTAGTTTCAATGAAGTTGGGTAAAGACCTAGGGAATAACTAGAGAATAAGGTGTCTGGTTTTAGTGTAAGAAGATTGAAATGGCCATTTTTTATCCTGAGAGGCTTTGAATTCTCAGACCTGGGCTGTGCTCCAGAGGATGACATGGGGAAAAAAACTAATCTCTAGATGAGATGGAGATGTTAACATAGTAATATCTGGGGCGAGGGGGAGATTTTATCACTTAGACCAGAATCTACATCTGTGACCACTATTACAAGAAATCACTTTTTTAAAAAAATAGGAGAGGCAAACAGAAGGAGATGAAAAGCCTGCTTTGCCTTTCTGCCATGGGCTTTGCCTCTGTCACAGCCACTATCATACCTAATAAAGGACAGCTCTCTGGAATACCTACAGAATGACAAAAAAAAAAAATCTGCAAATTGTACATCTAGCAAGGAGTTACTATTCAGAATATCTTAAAAGCTCAAACAATAGCAAAAAAACACAAATATTACAATTTAAAAACAGGTAAAAAAAATCTGAATAGACATACAAATGGCCAACTGATATATGAAAAACTGTTCAACATCACAAATCATCAGGGAAATGCAAATCAAACCACAATGAAACATTACCTCACCCTGGTTAGAATGGCTACTACAAAAAAAAAAAACAAATCCTTCCTGGCAAGGATGCAGAGGAAGAAGAATGCTTATACACTGTTGGTGGGAATGCAAATTAGTACAGCCACTATGGAAAACAGTCTGGAGCTTCCTCAAAAAACTAAAAATAGGACTATAGGATCCAGCAGTCCCACCACAGAGTATGCACCCAAAAGAAATGAAAGCAGTATGTCAACGATATATCTGCACTCCCATATTTATTGCAGCATGACTCACAATAGCCAAGATACGGAATTGACCCAAGTATCTACCAACAGATAAGTAAACAAGGAAAACGTAGTTTAAGTACACAATGGAATACTATTCAGCCAGAAAAAAGAATGAAATTGTCATTTACAGCAACATGGATGAATCTATAAAAGATTATAAACGAAGTGAGCCAGGCATAGAAAGACAAAAATCACATGACCTCACTCATGCAGGAGCCAAAGAAGGTGTCCTCACAGAAGTAAAGAGTAGAATGTGGACAGCAAAGGCTGCAAAAGGGAAGTGTGGTAGGGAGAGATTGGTTAACAGGTACAAGGCCAAAGACAGAAAAAATAAGTTCTGGTGTGCTACTATGCAGAAGGGTGATCATAGTTAACAATACTGCATGGTATAATTTCAGAATATCTAGAAAAAAGGATTTTGAATGTTTTCACTACAAAAAAACAGATGAATGCGTGAGATGACAGAAATGCTAGCTACCCTGATTTGATCATTACACAATGTATATGTACCAAGACACCTCACTGTACCCCATACATATGTACAATTATGTGTCAATTAAAATAAAAATAGAAATTAACAAAGGAAGGAAGGAAGGGAGGGAGGGAAGGAGGAAGGGAAGACAGAAAGATGGAAAACTCTCAGGGCTACTCAAGCAATTATGTATATTTCAAAAGAAATGTAAAATTTACACTTAGAGGAAACTGAGAGATGAGTTAGATCAGAGGGCATTTACTGGAAGAGGAAATCAAGGCCCAGAGCTTGTCTTCTCTGCAGAGGCCGTGCTGACTGGAAGTAACTGAGGACAAAGCCTCAGGCCTTCTCTTCTCCCTTCCTGCTCACCTAGTGCTCTCCCATGACCAACCACTGCATCTTCCTTCACACAAAGAAAGCACCACCATGAAACACTGACACAGAGGCAAGAAAACACCTGAGCAGAGCAGAGTGGGCAGCACGTACTTCAAGTCAGAGTTTAAGAATTCAGAAATCAATGCTCATTTTCTGGTTGGGAAGCTTTCTTTTTTTTTTTAACTGTACTTTAGGTTCTGGGGTACATGTGCAGATCATGCAGGGTTGTTGCATAGGTACATAAATGTCAAGATGGTTTGCAGCCTCCACCCCCACTTCATCTATAACTGGCATTTCTCCCCACGTTATCCCTCTGCACCTTCCCCAGCCCCCGCTGTCCTCCCCCAACACCCCCCCAACTGACCCCAGTGTGTGATGCTCCCTTCCCTGTGCCAAGTGTTCTCATTGTTCAACATACACTTATGAGTGAGAACATGCAGTGTTTGATTTTCTGAGGCTTCTAAGCAACTGCACATCCCTGGTAGTCAGGGTGAGTTGGACAGGACGCCCTGGCCAGTGAGCACTGCTGATCCAGGCCTGCTCTTCCACACCGCCATGTCCTGCCACCATCCCAGTACTCCTCAAGAGTCTTTTAATGAGAATTGGTCACAGCTTCTGGTGACAAAGCATTTGAAAAATAAGGTCTGTGCTTCATATGACAAAATGCTTCAGAAACGAAAGGTCCATTCTCTTCATAACTGGCTGTGAAAGATTATAGGCCTATTTTCTGATTTTGACATTTATTTGAAATTCAAATTCTACTACATAACCTAATAAGAATTGTGGAGATAATTAATACAAATGGAAAATCTCAGGGTAAAGTGGGAGAATGGAGGAAAGGGAACATTCTGAAAGTTCAAGTCATTTTCCTGGGCCACTTCATGGCATTTAATAGTGTGCTATTCTCAAACACGAAATTCAAACACTAACCTGAAATTACTCTGCTCTCTAAATCTCTTACCACTCATCTCTATTCTAATCTGAATAGAGAGCACATGGACTTCGTTTCACACACGCATGCCTGAGAAGCTGTGGGTAAACTGCTATGTAAAGGAGACCTAGAAGTGATCTTTTGCTGTTTTCAAGATGCTGCTCTTAATTTAATGTACCTAGGGGTGAAGTGACGCTCCTGCCAAACATACTCTGCTTAAATACCAGTTCTACAATCTGTGCAGTCCTAGGTCTTTCTGAGATTTTTCAAAATCAAAATAGCAACTTGCCTTTAAGGTTTTATACCTCTGTAGCAGATCAAAGAGGAACAGCTCTAAAAGCTGGTTACCTTCCTGCTAACACCTCCAGCAAAACATCTGGTGGAAGAACAGACACATAATAAAATAATCATAATGGTGTTTTATTATTATTATTATTATTATTATTATTATTATTATTATTCTATTTCTGTAGTCACCAACCAGGCACTTCATATACATTGTCTCATCTACTAACCATCATAATTCAAGATCAATATTACATTATAGAAAGAGAACACACTGATCAGGTGTGCTGGCTCATGCCTGTAATCCCAGCACTTTGGGAGGCCAAGGTGGGCAAATCAGTGAGATCAGGAGTTCAAGACCAGCCTGGCCAACATGGTAAAACCCCATCTTTACCCAAAATACAAAAAAAAAAAAAAAACTTAGTTAGGTGTGATTGTGTGCACCTGCAGTCCCAGCTACTTGGGAGGCTGGGGCAGGGGAACTGGGGAACTGCTTGAACCCGGGAGGTGGAAGTTGCAGTGAGCTGAGATTACACCACTGCATTCCAGTCTGGGCAATAGAACAAGACTCCATCTCAAAAAAAAAAAAAAAAAAAAAAAGAAAGAAAGAAAGAGAGAGAGAGAGACAAAAAAAAAAAAAAACAAAAACAAAAAAAACAAGGCACTGTGGTAACATAGCAAAGAAGCAGGACTGGCAAGCATTGGAAATCCAGATCTAACTCCAGGGCCCACACTTTTTCCACTGAATTTGGTTGATGGATAAATGTCAGTATCTAAGCCAACCATACTCACTCTCACTTCACTGCCTCTGGTTAGTGGAGCAGATTTTCAGTTGGTTCAATGTGTCCTTTCATACAGACAAAGGCTTTAAGGAGATGCTTCCATAATACACTGCCTCCTCCCTAAACCACTCTAAGTGAGCATAGGTTCAGTTGCCTGCACTTGGTCTTTCAGTCCCGCAGATTAGGGAGGTATACTCAAGAGGACATGGATTACCCAAGACATAACAAGATGTATGTATGTACGTGAGGGCCTTCCTTCAGGTCAGTGTGATCTGTTACAAATTCCTGTCATTTCCTCTCTGGGCCTGTGTGCTACCATCTCCAGGAACCTATCCCTGTGCAACCATGGTATTAGCAAGCAGATACACACACGGGGAATCAGGTCCTTGCCTCCGCCAGCCTCTCTACAGGAAACAGTTGCAGTGGCCTTCCTGAATCAGTTTCTGACTTAGATAAACTAGACCTGGAGGCCACTTTTTCTGAGGTCACCATATCAAATGCAGTGCCTTCTGTGTCATTTGGTGAATGAAAATCTAAGCATCCATTGAGGTGAACAAATACCGAGAAACAAGCCTCCGAAGAGAAGCATGGAAAGGCACAGCTGCCACGCAGCTCACGGCAAAGACAGAGGACACCTCAGAACCAAGCAGTGCCCATTCTTAGCCACTGCCATGCACAAGAACCACTTATGCCTATGGTTAGAATTTGAGCTAATTTAAGTTATTTTTATTCTTTTAAAGGGACTAGGGAGGGAAGCTTCATTTTTTAAATTCTCAAGCGGTAAAACTGACACCACAGACTTGGGCATAGGGGCATGAATATCGGTACACTAGACAGCTACCAAGGCAAAGGCCCTCTCCCTCCCACAGGAGAATCCCCAGACAGGATCCATGTCACACCAGCTCATCCTCCACTTTCATTCATGACACATTCCTGGAAAAGGTGATTAAAAACTTAATGTACAGAAGTTCAACACTGGGTTTACATGTTCTACAGAACTAAAAATGTGTAAAATTTCTAGTTATAAAATGTATATTTTCATGTCCAATGGCTATGGAATGTACATGCCTAAAACAACATCAAAAATACTGAAATGTCTAGTTTTGTCAGCAGTAGTACCATCTCTAATCAGTAAAATAAATTACTACAATTATTAACTGTAAGGAGTTATCAACGGCCATTTTGTACAGCGTAGGCAGAAATGAGTGACGTAGATTTTAATGAGGTCGTTTTTCTTATGAGGCACTAGCTACCTTCTTTTGATGATGAGTCTTTAGTAAGCTGTATACCTAGCGAATGGACCCAGGAATTCTTTCCCTGTATTTGAATTCCCAGGATATTCTGATAATAATCTTCATTTCATATTTTATTTATCTTTTCTCAATTCTCTCTCACTTCCCCCTATCGCTTGGACATTATAGTCTTGGAATTTGGGCTATGTTTAAATTTTACCCCATTGTGCACTGAGTGGATCAGCTTATATTCTGTATGTGTCTAGTTGACCATGAGTCACTTGTCTGGTTGACCATGACTGTGTCCATCATTGTCTCAGTTGTCTGGCTGTTAGTATCAGCACTTAAACATTTTACCATTTCTGTTCATTTTTTAGAAACTAATATAAATAAACGCACCACAGTATTCAAATAATTGTGCAAATAAACATTGCTTGGCAAAATGAAACTGTTGATTATTGTACTTGACTATAATGAAGTAGTAGAATGTTTGTTCATCAGCTGATGCACGGAAGTCCCAATTAGGCCTAGGAAAGGTGGTTTGAAGATATCTAATTTTTAATATTTGAAAGTGCTGTTGCATGAAAGTCACACCATCAGGTTGTGGAAAACCCATCAATAGCTAGTATTAAAAACTTTAAGTTGAATCTTCTAGGTCTCAGTTTCCTCTTCTACAAGATGACCAAATTAGTCTTTATTTTCTTTAAGATGCTTTCCAATGTGATAATGTGATTCTACTTGAGATATTCAGATCCTCACGAAGAAACTGAGTTTTCTTACTTGCAATGTAGTTTGACCTGGTTTATTACCTATCTCATTCTTCTCAGCTAAGGTAGAACTAGAAATTATTTTTTTTACTTTCCTCTTAGCTTGAATAAACAAAATCAGCTTACAGCAGAATATAAAGTTATAATAAAAAAAAATTAGCCAGACACAGTGGTTCATATCTATAATACTAGCACTTTACGAGGCCACGACAGGCAGATCACCTGAGGTCAGGAGTTCAAGACCAGCCTGGCCAACATGGTAAAACCCCATCTCTACTAAAAATACAAAAATCAGCCGAGTGTGGTGGTGGGCACTTTTAATCCCAGCTACTCGGGAGGCTGAGGCAGAAGAATAGCTTGAACCTAAGAGGTGGAGGTTGTCATGAGCCGAGATCACGCCACTGCACACCAGCCTGGGCAATAGAGCAAGACTCTGTCATTGATAAATAAATAAATAAAGTTATGATAAAAAATAAAGAGTCCCAAGTAGGGAAACAGAGATAAGAATAAAAGAGTAGAAAATCAGGGTCTGGTGAGGTGGCTTATGCATGTAATCCCAGCACTTTGGGAGGCTGAGGCGGGCAGATCCCAAGATCAAGAGATCAAGACCATCCTGACCTGTTAACATGTTGAAATCCCGTCTCTACTAAAAAATACAAAAATTAGCTGGGCATGGCAGTGTGTGCCTGTAGTCCAGCTTCTTGGGAGGCTGAGGCAGGAGAATTGCTTGAACCGGGAGGCAGAGGTTGCAGTGAGCCAAGATCGTGCCACTGCACTCCAGCCTGGCGCCTGGCAACAGAATAAGACTCTGTCTCAAAAAAAAGAAAATCAGAACCATATGAAAGTATTACAAATATGTAGACAATTAGGGGCCTGTTGATATTTTGCGCTGTAGGCAGGTCAAGAGCAGCTGGGACGCTGATGAGGAGAGAGGGAGCTATCAAACCCACCCACTGTCTCCCAGGAAAAGCATCTCAGTTTTCTCAAAACAACTACTCTCATAGGAAAAAAAAAAAAACCTCTCCCCATGGCCACATAGCAGGCAAATGAAAGTGAAATAATGCATGCATATAAAACTGAGTCAATAAAAATATTTCCTCACCCATTTTGTGTTTTCTGTTCTCTGTCAAACCCCTAGGCAGATGGCTCCTCCTCCCTGCAACAGCCAATTCATTTACAACTACAGCAGCCCCCAGGCAGGAGGGCAGAAGATGGCTTAGCCTCGATGGGAAACAACAGGGAGCTTCCAGGGTTTCTACCGAAAGAACAGGGGAGCGTAATGTAGCCATTTCCTGAGGCCTACTTCCATCTTTGCATTTATTCTATATCATCTATAGCACGGTTGATACTCTAATCATTCCTAATATTAGGAAAATGTAGGCCAAAAATGTTTTTGAAAAGACCCAGACAATGCTGATTCATTTTTAAGAAAAATCATTTCAAATTTTATGGGCTTCATGTATTTACATGAAAACCATGAAGATCAGAGAAAAAAGGTGATCTTTCTTGTAAAAGCATTCTGAGACCTTAGGAATAAAAACACAGTAAAATTAACCTTTCACCAAGAGTTATGCCCTTTCTATCTGACCTAATAAATAATCAATATACTTGAGCTATTTCTAGGGTATAAACACTCATCCTTCTGAACACATGCTGACATTCGAGGTCATGTAACAAAGCCTGCTTCCTGGACATGTGGAGGATTTGACAGAAGCAAGGCCATGTGGAAAACATCTCACAGGTAACTAGTTGCTACCTTTCTCAAAGTATGGCCTCATCATTGCATAGCAAATGCATAACAAATTAGACTCAACGTCAATTCTGGGTCACTGTGATAAACATATATGAAAGGCACCAAGTAAGAACTCAGTATTTGGTTGATATTAATATTGTTTTTATTGTTAAAGAAAAATCAAATGGAGGCCACAGTGTGGGCATAACCTTGGGCCAACTACCCATAGCCATATAAGAAAAACTTAAGCTATCCTGACTTCTGTAAAATGCTGGCCATAAACAAAACTTAAGCTCTCTGTCCTTATCACCACGATAAAATTGAACAAATCATCTACAAGCAAATAAGGTTTTACAGCTCTACTTGCCCTAAAAGGAATGTAAGATTACAATAACTGTAACAGAGATTAATGTACTTCTTCGTTTATGCCTTATAAGTTGCTGAGAGCCAACTTTCTTACCACTATCTGTTTGAAGACACCTGGTTTGGCCAGGTGCCATGGTTCATGCCTATAATCCCACCACTGTGGGAGGCCGAGGTCGGTGGATTGCTTGAGTTCAGGAGTTTGAGACCAGCTT